GGGATCTCACAAAATGACAGAGATTGTACACAGCAAAGGCAACTATCAACTCAGTAGAGAGACAGTAAGTAGAGGGAGAAAATCTTTGCTCTCCATACATTCACCAGAGGGTCAGTGTCCAAAATGTATAAAGAACACAGGCACACACTAACTGCAAGAAAACAAATAACCTAATTCAAAATATGACAGTGGAACGAAACAGAAAAGTCTCAAAAGTGCTACAAACGGCTAGCAAACAGTTTAAAAAAGCATTCAACATCAGCTTTCAAGAAAATAAATATCAAGTTACTTTAATGTTCCATCTCATGCCAGTGAGAATTACCATCACCAGCAATACAGAGGGCAACAGACACTGATGTGGATGTGGGGAAATGAGAACTTTTATACACTGTCGGCAGAAAGGTGAACTAGTGCATCCATTTTGGAAACGAGTCTAGATGTTTCAAATAAAAACAAACAAACGAACAAAAAACCCTCTCCTAGAAATAAAACTACCACATAACCCAGCCATACCACCCCTAGACATATACCCCAAAGACTTTATATTGGCTACATACATACCTACATATCCATGTTCATTGCTGTTCTATTCACAAAAGCTAGGAAATGAATTTAACCGGGATGTCTATAGACAGTCTGGTGAATGGATATGAAATGCACGTATGTAGGCATGATAGAATTGTATTTACCTGTAAAGAAAAGTGAAATAATGAAAACTGAAGGTAAACAGGAAACTGTTACTTTCTAAACCTAGGCCAAAGAACTAATGGAGGAGCTTATTAACATATCAAAGGAGACTCTGGCTAGCCAAGGCGGTCTCCTTCAGTCCCCCCCTGTTACCCTACCCTCCTGGCTAGCATACCCTGCTCCCTACCCTAAACTTCTGCAACCCGGAGCCTGGGTTGCTCTTCCCCAGCTGCTCTTCCCCATAAAACTCAGCCACGTTGGTTACCCAGCTTTTCTTTCTTTCTTTCTTTCTTTCTTTCTTTCTTTCTTTCTTTCTTTCTTTCTTCCTTCCTTCCTTCCTTCCATTTCTTTCTTTCTTTTCCTTCCTTCCTTCCATCCCTCCCTTCCTTTCCTTCCTCCCTCACTTTCCTCCCTCCCTCCCTCCTTCCCTCCCTTCCTCCTTTCCTTCCTTCCTTCCTTCTTTCTTTCTTTCTTTCTTTCTTTCTTTCTTTCTTTCTTTCTTTCTTTC